GGTTTATTAATCACGGGTCTACATTACTCCCTTACGGCGATGCTGCCGCCCTAAACCCTAAATCCTAAACCCTTAACCCTAAACCCTAAACACAACTTTGATCTCCGAGCATCCTGTCGGCTCATCCCTAACCGTTGGCCCACACGGTAGTACGAGTACTGCGAAGGGTTCCTGGTCTGTAGGGTATAGGGTTGAGGGTTGTAGGGTTTAGGGTTTGGGGTTTACGGTTAAGGGGGTAGATAGGGTCTAGGGATTGAGGGTAATTAGATAGGTATTAGATAAGGATTATGCAAGGATTCTAGTGCGGTTATATTAGAGGGATCATGCACGGGTTATTGCACCCGATCGTGTAGAATCTAGAAATTGACAGGAGACCGGAGCATGCATTGAAAACTGTAATTAACATATGGAGTCATATGATTGATACTAAATCTAGTTAGCAGGATGGAAGGTAACAAATGAATGGAAACTACTGGAATATTGGGGCTTATGTAGGGACCGCTACAAAGATTCCTTCCTTCATACCTTTCTAACCACACGCGAGTTGTTGAGGAGAGTTGTGGGTTTAGGGGTTTACAGTTCAGGGTTTGGGGTTTTGGGATTTAGGGTCTCTTCTTCCCAGACCCATACCACTCCGGAGTGATTTCCAAAAGCTCTCCTCATGGAACGACCTACCTTCCAGATCCTCTTAACTTCCAGATCCTCTTAACATTGGGTTGGAGTATAAGAACATAAGAAAATGTTAAATTCAGTAAACTCAAGGATTCGTGGTGTAAAGCCCAAAGCCCTCCGGCTTCACCAGAATAGTGTCTCCACCATTCTTTGAGAAGGATCGGCTGGAATAGTGCATGATGGACATGATGTCGTATGGCCGATGGATGTCTGCCTTGGGGTTCTTGGTAAACTGGCCATCCATGCCGGCTTTGATATTGCTCCAAACCACGGTAATGAAGCTGTCCCGGTCGGGTCTCGACTGCTCATGCGCCATGCCTAAGGCATGAAGGAGCTCATGAGTTGCTGTGCCACAATTGTCGCAGCCAGGAGCTTGCAAATTGAGCTTCTGATTCCCACCAAAGATGGAAGATGACATGCCGATGTCCGCCCAACAGCCGTTACCGCTCCTTCGCCCATTCGACTGCATGTAGATTGCCGGCGACGAAGTGCATCTGTCCAGGCCGCTATACTGCACGTTGTGGAATGTGATGCCAGGGACGTGGCTCATGATCTTCGACTGGGCACGAAGCTGAAGGGGCTCAGATCAACCCACATGGGAGGGGACACCAAGTCATTAAGCCATTTTTGATGCAAGATCTTGAATCACCGATGCCAGCACAATGAAGCCGCAACACGTATACATGCTCTCTGTCTCATATTGCAACTTGAAAAAACAAGTCAGAGAACGTGAGCCCACATACTGTCAAATGAAATTTGGATGTGTGCGCATGGAACCATATACATACCTATACAGACAAATGTGAGTATGGTAGCCTTCCAGAACAGGAGCATCCCCTTTATCGACCCTGAAATACTATAATCCTTATGCGAAAAACCTAAAGTGGTATGTGCGTTGATATACAGCAGTCACGCAGACCTCTGTACTAACATCATGTGAGTCACTGTCTAAACTCCTAGTATCCCCCTTAATAAACCCTATAATAGTCCCCTATATAATCCCCTATATAACCCCCTTTAAGGAGTTTAGACTATAGCTCACATCATGTGCCTTATGCCGCCAAGGCGCCATGGCGCACTCGAGTGCTTGCCTGGAGGCCGGCGCAATTGCAATGTCAAAGCAGTAGTTCACCTGCAATATTTGGGTTAATATAGGGATAATGGAAAATCAAATGGAAACTACTATAATGGGTTATATAGGGATTATAGGGTATATATTGGGGTCATATTGGGATAGTGAAAAAGAAAGTGGAAACTACTATTTAGGGTTCATACATTGAATGCAACAAGGGGAGGGAGAGGAGGGGGATCGGGATTGGGGCTTGCCCTTCGTTTTGCTGACTCTCTGTGCGGAGTTTAGTCCTACTCGGTCAGTGTTCGGAAAACGCGGATGTAATCCCCTACTGTAGAGTGTATATTCTCGGAACACATAGTCCCCAAACGATGGGGAACATATGTCTTGACACATCCTAACTACTCAGGTCGCTACACTATAAACCCTGATGGCCTAATGGCCCTATTGTAGACCAGTGATTCATTAGCCCTTCCTTTTAAGGGCCTTAATATTAGGATCTGTATGACAATATCTCCCAATAGAAGTCCGCTTTAACAGGAGCATTTTCCCCCATTTAAGAAGTACCTTCCATAAGGCCCTAAACCCCAAGCCCTAAACCCCAGTGAACCCCCAAAACCCCCTATCCCTCAGCCCTAAACTCCAAGCAGTTTTTCAAAACTCCAAACCCCAAATCCTAAAACCTAATAGCCTAGACCCTAAACCTTAAACCCTAAACCCCTAAACCCATGAATCCCAATCCCTACACCCAACTGTCGGAGCCCCAGCACGTCTGGCCTTGGCATTGGTCCACGGCGTACCGGCCCCAAAGCTCCCGCTTCCTGGTAAAGGGAGTTTCTAGGGTTTAGAGTTTCGGGATTAGGAATTGGGGTTTAGGGTTTAGGGTTTGGGGTTTAGGGTTTGGGGTTTAGGGTTGCGTCCTCGCGTTTTTCAGATTAGGATGAGAGGAAGCTATAGAGAACAAATAAGGACGTACATGGTGTAGGGTGTCAAGTTGGGAGTTGTCAGGTGGGTATTCATACATAAGGCTTGTGTAAGGCTGCTATGACCCTAAACCCTGAACACAAGCCCTATATATTGTTTTCATGTTAATTTTCTTCTCCAGTATCCGTACTTAACCCCAATATATGACCCCAAACCCCTAAACCCTTAGCCCCTCATAACCCCTATAATACTCCCCTACATGATCCCCTGTATAACCCCCTTTAAGGAATTCAGCTTCTGGCATACACAAGGCTTGTGTAAGGCTGCCATGGGGAAGCTGGGGGAGCCGTGTAAGGCCGAACGGCGAGAAATTTAGGGTTTATGGTTTTAGGGTTTAGCATTTATTTAGGGTTTCAGGGTTTAGGATTCAGGGTTTTAGGATTTAGGGTATACGTTTTAGGGTTTAGGGCCGCTTGAATTTCCGTAGATGCTGGTGGTTCATAATCATAAGCCCCGCGGTTTGGGGCTCAGGGCTTGGAGTTCAGGGCGTAGGGCTTGAAATTTGCAATCTAGGGTTAGGGGCTTTGGGTTGAAGGTCAGGTCTAAGCCCCCTTAGTCCTGAACCCTACGGGGCAAGCCTCCCACCCTCGAAATCAAACATGGTCCCCTGATGCATTGAAAAAAGCTACTTAGTGGGGCCTCATTCTGAGGGGAAGTGATTACTTCATATACCGCATCAAGTGGAGTGACCGGCACATTTGGTGGACCATGTCGGATCAATTTCAATGCTGAACAGGACACTTAAGGAATCACCTAAACCCTAAACCCTCAACCCTAAACCCTACTACTTTGTGCAACTGGGGAAAAAACGCAAAAAGTTGCTGTTGAGCTCCCGTCTCCCTCGTCGCACCCAACATTCCTGGGTCCGTGTCAAGGCTTGTCGCTTTGTTAGTTTGGAGATGTTGGCAAATATGAGTTTAGGGTTTAGGGTTAGGGCCTTATGAAATCAAGACAAAAGGCTATGCTATCCACTATGGTTTGGGTCGACTTGATGCTCAGGTATGGGATGTTTGCGTTCTGATGAAGGTATGCAAGTGGATAATCTGCTGGGTGGTTGGAGCAAATAAGATTATGATATATTCTTGTAAAATGTTCTGCCAGAAATCAAGCTTACCTGGGCAACCTAACAACCGGAAACGACAGATCTGCTTCCAAACATCCACGTGTTGTAGGTTAGGGTCCTGACCTTTCAAATGTTGTTTTTGGGTTTAGGGTTTAAGGTATTCCCTTTCTTGCTGTTTCATTACCCAAGCTGGGGCATGAGGACCATTGTCAAAAAACAACTCAGGTCGTCATTGGGTCTTCCCAAGGTTTCTGCGGCATTGTCCAACAAGTACTCATGATGTTCCCCCACCGCGCGTTGGCATTCAGAGCCTACAAAGCCTTCCTTGATTATTTACCCTGGTGAAATGCTTTCCTGCCGATCGACCCGTCGTACGTCATCCTGAGGACAGGAGAATGGACTTCATGAAGCATCATCATTCGAAAAAATGCAGTTCCACTGAGCAAAGACCGCATCTCCTTCACAGTCCTCATAGTCCCATACCCTCCCACTATGCTATCCCTACACGCACCCCGCCTATATCCTGAGACACCCTCATTGAAATCACCACTTCTCCACATCCAAGGAGAAGACTCTGTAAACTTGCATAACCGTGCTATGCTGCGACCCCCTGTCCGCACATTTCCACCCGCAGAATTGTCGCAAAGCACCCGAAGCCATAGGCTTTTCAATGTTTTCTATGATTTCCTTGGAAAACACTGGCAAAAACACTGTTCTCTATATCTCCTATGATTTTTCAAGGACCTCAGGCCTGGGCTGGAGTAGTCTGAAAAATCATGAAACAGCGTTGGACGAAAACAAAGTTTTCCACGGTTTTCTTTGAGAAATGCCTGCTGCCACGCGATAGTTTCGAGCACTTTCTGCTCAAAGGCCTCGACCACAAGCCCTACCCTGAGCCCTAAACCCTAAATCCTAAACCCTAAATCCAAAACCCTAAACAATA